AGGTAAAGGGTGGCTTATTGAAGAGTTTAGGAACAATACATAGCTTTATATAATAGTAGGGGTGTGTGAGTGTGAGTGTGTGTGTGTGTGTGAATGTGTGGGTGAGAGGAATATAACAGAAAATGGTAGAAAGCTTGAATTATGTAATTAAGAGCTGTCTTTGAAAAACCTGATAAGTCCCATCATAAAACCTGCTTTGTGTATCCTGTATATACGTTGACCCTCAAGCTATAAATTCCCTAGCTTGAGTCACGAATAAAGGAATTTCCACTTTAGAAATCCTTTTGCTAGAGTTCATGCCCAATTCTTCTTTGCTTTTCATTCTCATTATAATCAATTTTTCCAGTTGAGGGTGTCCCATCTTTCATTTCATATCCTCCAAGAATGGCAAGTAGATTCTTACTGATCCTTTCACACATACTTAGTATCTGGTAAATGTTTTAATCCTAAAGGAGCCAGAAGGTTTTGACCTACTTTAGTCTTCCTCCAGTTTTCACTTTTAATCAAGCTAATGAAACTGCAGTTCAGTCTATGGGCAGTGTCTTTGACTCCAGTTAGATAAGAATGGTAAGTTTTGATTTTTCAGACTTGTCTCACATGTTCACTAATATCTAGTCTTAGACAACACTTATAATTGCATTATATTTGTGCTTGTTCATTAAAAAAAGAATGTGTTTTAAATGTAAGTTTTTGGCTAAAGTTCTTCTTTGATAAGAAATTACAAATAATCACTACTGACTACTTTCTGCTGTAACTTTGACTTCCTACACAACTTGAGGCAGGTAGGACAATTCTGTAGTCTTCCCTGGACCATAAAGTTTAAACCATGGGAAGAAGAGTTTGGGGGCAAAAGTAAGCTTGTTGTCTAAAATTAAGACAGTTTATTAATTTGATAAATACTTTAGCATCAGATATATTTAATCAAGGAATGGTTTGTGAAGCCAAACAAAACCGAGTTTCAGTTTTAGCCCTAACATTTCTTATCTGCACAATCTTTAACAAGTGGCTTAACCTCTTTCAATCTCAGTCAGCCATCTAGAAGTTGAAACGTCCTCTAAAGGCTTCTGAGCATGCAAACGTAACTGTTCAAATCTCTGTATAGCAGTAATGCTGGAGAGGACTGGAGAAGGGTGGGAGACTCGGGTGGGGATTCAGGGAAGGCTGGTAAGGAGACCTTCAACCAGGGATCGGGCGGAAAAGTTTATGAGATGTCTCAACTCTTGAGGAGACAGAGTCTCCAATACTTGCAAACTGGTCAGATATAAAGGAAGCTGGGTGCAGGGAAACAATGAAAGGAAACTTCTGTGCTTAGGTTACAGCAGGAAGGTGAGAGGAAGCACTAGTTAGAGGCAAGGTAATAAATTTGATTTTAGACTTAGGGATAAAAAATTCATCCTTCTATGCCTGATTATTTAAAGAGGCGAGAACTTTCCTTCTCTTTTTAGTCCCAAACTTCAAAGCAGCTTTGGGCATAAAGAATGTGAACTCCTTCCTCTCCCTTTAGCAATTCTCGCCACTCCCCAGGCGCACACACTGAATCCAGGCTCCTGACCTACAGCTGGGCCTGCTGCATGTGGCTTCCTCTAGCTGACTTGAACTTCAGCTCAGCTAAGGATGTTTTGACCCGTCAGTTCTCACATACTGTTCCTTTTACATAATCCCGACTCACATTGGAGTCGTGGATATTTTATCTTTCATTCTTCTGATGTATAAGGAATGCACACAAAAAAGACTGCTGGTTAATCTGTTCAAGGAAAAGAAAAACTGGAAAAACAAAACAAAACAAAATAAAACAAAAGGAAAATCTAATTGATGTTTATAATTTATTCTGTTAAAGGAAAAGAGAAACTTGTCTTCTAGAACGTGCTTTCAAAAAAAAAAATCTCTCTTTTAAAGAAGGGCGCATAATCTGGAATCAGGGCATTTTGGTAAGGTTATTTCCAGCTCGACTGCTTGATGTGTGACACACTGGGTGTCTCCTTAACCTTTCTGAGCCTCAAATTTGAGGATAATAATCTTCTTTAAAGGATTATCAGATTATCATGACCTGATACTATAGAATAAGTCCTGTTCTTATTTATATTTACCTCCTGTGTGTTTCCCCTTTTGTCTATCTTTTTTTCAAAGTACCTTGTGAATTTCTTGTCTTGGCTTTTCATTATTTAGTATTGTAACTATTTACATGTCCCTTTTTTCCCCACACTGTTAGCTCTTTGAACACAGATGGTGTCTTTTATCCTTGTATCCTTGATACCTAGTACAGTATTTGACACATATTAGGTGCTTAGTAAATATTAACTGATTACTAGTGTATTTTTCATAATAGAAAAGTGTTTAACAGCTTGACATTATTATTCTTTCTAGGCCTTCAAGCTTTTAACTTGACTTAATTAATATTTTTTCCATACTGATTTTAATATGTTTTCTTCCAGCAATGTATTAAGTGGCTTAGGTAATTACTATAAGGCAACAAAAGTCAAGGAAACAGTGAGTTTTTACGAATGACATTTTTGTTCTTGGACAGCAAATACAATGAGCCTTTACATGTCAGAAGTGCTCTCGATGTTGGCATCACTTGTAATGTAAAGAGTTCTTTGTAGAGATGCTTGGAAACCTTATGAGGAAATTGGGATTTGAAAAATTACAGTGGCCTAAAATTATATATTTTTCAGTTGTTTATTTAAAGGGATATGACCATGAAGTTATCTCTGGTGGTTTAGCGTTTTACTTCCTTAATTTTGCAGGGGAAGGGGGTTGATATGAGAAAATCTTTTCTCTCTAATTCTTTTCAAGGTCAACCTCTACCTGTTTCTTTGCCATTCACCCTCCACTCGAGTCAAATGGGAAAAAGTAAACTATGCAATTTAGTAGAACACATAGAAAAACAAAATAAAAAGTACTAAGAGAAGATGCATGTGAATATTATTTTTACAATCCTGAGTTGAAGAAACCTTCCCCAAGTATTATCAAAGGTACTGAAGGAAAATTTTGATAAATTGAACTAAATAATTATTAGAAATTATTATATTTTTATGTGTAAATATTAGGCAACATTCATGAGAAAACAAAGGCTTATTATCCTTAACATATTAAGGAATCTTTATGCTCAGTGTTAAAGACAATAATCAAATAGGCACATGAAAAA